GACGCGAATGGTGTGACTCTACTTTGTGAAAAACCAGAGACACAACAAATTGTGCTCTATACGTACACTATGAATTGAAATGCATTCTGCTGTCATGTATAACAAATTAGAGTAGGTAAATAATTTTTTAAAAAGATTGATTAAGTGACACATAGACTTGGAGAAAACTTTCAAGTATTTTGCTAAGAGAAAAAAAGCCAATCTGAGAAGGCTACATACTATATGATTCCAACTATATGACATTCTGGAAAAGGCAAAACATGGACCATAAAAAGATCAGGGGTTGCTAGGGTTTGGGGAAGGGATGAATAGGCAAAATCTAAGTGGGTTTTTTTTCCTTTGATACTGGGATCGAACTCAGGAGCGCTTTATTACTGAGCCACATCCTCAGCCCCTTTTTGATTTTGAGACAGGGTCTTGCCACATTGCTGAGGACCTTGCTAAATTGCTGAGGTTGGCCTTGAACTTGTGATCCTTCTGCACCCCAAGTTGCTGGGATTACAGGCATGTGCCACAGTACTCTATTACATAGAGGAATTTTAGGGCAATGAGACTAATCTGTATGACATCTGTATGACACCATTACACATTTGTCCAAACCACTGGCTATGCTACACAAAGAGTGAACTATTATTATTGGATCATTGATTGTAACAAATGTACCACACTAATATTAGATGCAAATAATAGGGGACATTGTGTGTCGGAGGAGAGGGACCACAGGAACTCTTTGTACTTTTCCATCGATTTTTCTGTAAGCCTAAAACTGCTTTCAAAAAACATTTTTTTAAAAAGCCATGTTCAAAGAATTCAAGTGACTTGATGGCTAATAAGCTCACCACATACCTTACTTCTGATCTTCTCTCTTCCCATAAAGTCACTAATAGAGAGATTTCTCTGTCCTAAAGGATTCTCTCTCTCAGTCAGGGAGGGAGCTGGGGACAGAAGCAGATACTGAATACAATTCAGGCGAAAGTGGCTGTTCTGCGTCCTGGTTTGCCTTCTCCCTCACGCTCATTCATTCCACAAATTTGAAGTTTCTATTCTGAGCTGGGTCTTATCCTGGACACCAGGGAGGTAACTGGCATCAAGCCACCATCCTGTCCCACAAACATTCACAATCTGAGGGAGAAAACGATAAGCAAACACACAACAATAGTGCGCTGTGTTAAGTGCTACCAGGAGGCGGGACAGGAGCACAGGCGAGGAGTATCTAACCCAGCCTAGGTTGAGTCGAGTCAGACTTCCTGGAGGATGTGACATTGAAGGCAAGCCCCAGTTTAGAGGCAATAGGATGCTGATGGGACTGAAAATTGGTGCAACCACTATGGAAAATAGTATGGAGAATCCTCAGAAAACTTGGAATGGAACCACTGTTTGGGTTATCCCACCCCTCAGCTTACACCTGAAGAACTGAAAATCAGCATACTACAGTGACACAGCCACATCCATGTTTATGGCAGCTCAAGCCAAGCTATGGAACCAACCTAGGTGCCCTTCAACAGATGAATGGAGGGCTGGGGTTGTGGCTCAGTGGTAGAGCGCTTGCCTAGCATGTGCGAGGCACTGGGTATGATCCTCGGCACCACATAAAAATGAATGGATAAAATAAAGATATTGTGTTCATCTACAACTAAAAAAATCTTTTAAAAAATAGATGAATGGATACAGAAACTGTGGTACATATACACAGCGGAATATTACTCAGCCATAAAGAAGAATGAAATTATGGCATTTGCCAGTAAATGGATAGAACTGGAGACTCTCATACTCAGTGAAATATGCTGATCCCCCAAACCCAAAGGCCATAGGATCTCTCTGATACGTGGATGCTAATACACAATAAGGTGGGGAGAGGAAAGAATAAAAATTCATTGGATTAGACAAAGGGGAATGAAGGGAAGGGAGGGAGGATGGGGAAAGGAAAGACATAGAATAAATTGGACATAACTTTCCTATGTTCATATGTGAATACACGACCAGTGAAACTCCACATCATGTACAACCACAAGAATGGGATCCTAATAAGTATGTATGTCTAATATCTCCAAATAAACTCTACTGTCAGGCACATCTAAAAAGAACAAAGAGGGGGCACAATAGGAAAGCCTCTTGCATGTGTTCAGAGATCTGGAAGCAAAAAACCCCCCCAAAACAAAAAATACCAAACCAGCCCACCTGTGCATGTGGAGAGGGGGGTGCACAGAGGGGAGTGGGCTGGAGGGACAAGTGGTGTCCAGGTCAAACCTGAGTCTTTGGCTCTCTCAGAAGCAGTGCGAAGTAGCCCAACCAGAACTGGCAACATCTCTCCTGGGAGTCTGCCTCAGGCAGGTGACACGTCTCAGGGAGACTCCCCAGGTCTCTTTTGAACACCCTGGGTAGAAGAGCCCAGCCTATAATTACCACCGTGATAATTAGAGCCGCTTCCAGGGCCTCTTTCAACAAACATGCACAAGCTGCGGCCCTCTCACCTGGGGAGTGGGGGAGGAAGAGACCAGGTCACCCCTCCTGGGGGGCGCCCAGGCCTGCATCTCCTGCCAGGCACACTGGCTGTCTGCTGAGGCCCAGCAGTGCCACGAATACACCTGGGGCTGCTCCAGCTTGGGGCTGGCAGAAGGACTAAATTTCTCCCACCAGTGCCACCCGCTGCCCATCCAACCGGCGGACTGTTGGTCAGTCTTATTCCAGCCTGGCTTTCTCGGGGAACTGCAAACTTGTAGAAAGCTTGACCAGGCCCTGGAGCCTCTGTTTCCCCAAGAGACACCTGGGGAGTCTCTGGTGTAGATGGAGAGGAGAAAATGCTTCTCCTTCTTTTCCTCCACACCTTCTCCTTCCTTTCTTTCACCAGATTTTTTTCTCCTGTTGCATCCACCCAATACCAACGTGTCCTTTGGCTTCGCTTTCTATGACTCACTGGGAACCAAAGCCCAGGTGAATCGCCCAGGCTCCCCGTGTCATTTTTGTTTCATTAATGACGTGTCTGCTCTGTTTTGTTCTTAGCTCCTCAGAGAAGGCGCTTCTGCAGGTCTTTCCCATGGGACCTAAAGCTTCACTCAAGCCCCTTCAAGACTTAGAACAACTACAAGTCATGTTCAAGAGCACCAGTTGACTGAAAATGCACCTGGCAATATTGTACCAGCTCCATCAATGTCAAGAACTTAGGTCCTTTGCCTTCTGGTCTCCTCATAGCATGCAGTTTTATGGCTGGGCAGGTTTTTGCAGGCTGGTATCTCTGTGTTAACGGTGAGAGGAAGGGTCCCTGATGGTTAAGTATTTTCTTGCCCCCACCCCCTTCAAGCTCTCCTAGAACCTTGATCTTATCAGCCGGCCATTTCCCAGGGCTCTCTGGTGGAGCTTCATAGGAAACACCTTGAACCTGACTGGTCCTGGCACCTGGCAGTTGGGGAAGGAGGAAGACAGAGAGCTTGCAACTGAAGGAAGAGTGTACTTGGCTCTGTCACTAAGTGGTTCCTCCCTCTCGGGGACAGGCAAGCAGCAGTTGTAGGGCAATGGCCAACTGATCCATTTGGAGATAGAGTCAGGGTGTGGTGTTCCGGGTAAGTTTGGGCAGGCCCTGGGAAACTGGAGCAGAGCTAGATCCTGGCCTAAAGTTGGGCAAGCTGCAGAGGCACTTGGGTATGCTGGTTTTAGGTGTGTGAGCTTTGCTCTCTGTTAAGGGAGGGGTGGGGGTGTCCAAGAGGACTAGCATGTCTGTTTTCCCCTCATTCACAATAGAAGGGAGACTTGGCTAGGCCCTTCAAAGTCTGGCCTTAATGCACCAGACTTTGTCTCTTTTCTCAGTAATTCATAGCACAAATCATCCGTCCCATGCCTGGGAACCAAGCTCACAGCGAACTTCACATCTGTAAGCCTTGTCTCATGCCCTTGTCTCTTTTTGGTAAGCTTCTCAGGATTTCAGTCTGCCTCACTCACTTTTGAGTGGAGGGGACTAGAGATTGAACCCATCCTTTTTTTTTTTTTTTTTTTTTTTTTTGATACAGGGTCTCACTAAGTTGCTCAGGGCCTCATTTAGTTGCTGAGGCTGGCCTCAAATTTGTGATACTCCTGCCTCAGCCTCCCCCAGTTGCTGGGTTTACAGGCATGTGCCATCATAGCTGGCCTGCCCCACTCACTTCTGAGAAAACTTTTCCCAGTGCAGGAGCCTCAACTCATGGCTCCGTTCTCTCTTCCCCTAATCCTAGGATTCACTGTTGGTTTGGGGTCTAGCTCTGTTATGTTTACTTCTTTGCCTGCTTCCTGCCCTCCAGGTGGGCAGTTTCCTGAGCTTTTGCTCTTGCTATTCCTTCTGCCAAGAACTCTCTTCCTTCCTTGGGATCTTTAGATGTTCTCATCCTTCAAATGTCATCTCAAATGTACCCTCCTCAGCGAGGCCCTCCTTGACCACCTCATCTACTAAGTAGTCACTCTTTGACCCATTACCTAAAATGTAGTATCACCTTAAAACTCATGTGAAATTGTCCTCATTTATGCATCGGCTTGGATGGTGTCCCTTCCTCTCAAATATAATCACCTGGAGGGTGAGACCAAGCAGAACGAGTTGACACATAGTTGACACCCAATAAATATTTGTTGACTGGGTACATGAAGACAAGCCTAGGGTATTTTACTTGGCACCGAGCCTGGGCGCAATAAAGTTTGGCTGCATGTACATTTGCTAAATGAATGACGGAAACAATGAACTAGGAAGGGGCGAAGGCAGCGCTCAGCCTGCGCCCGACAGGCTACCTGACAGTTGGGGACCCGCGGGCAGCAGGCTGTCGATTGAAGGTTGACAGCTGAGTGGCAGTCAACGGACGCGCACCGCGGTTCCCGATTGGCTGGTGCTGTAGTACCTCGGGAAGGGGCGGGAAAAGGGGGGCTCTGGGCGACAGCTGCGCTTGGAGGGGGCGCGGCGGCCGCACGCGGCGGCGGCAGGCGTCCGTCCGCCAGAGGCTGTAGGTGCCCTAGTCGCCTGGAACCAACAGCCGACGTCTCCGCGCATGGGCCGGGCGCGAGGGGCGGGGCGAGCGTCACGTGAGCGTGTTTTGGGCACGTGACCCGCGCGGGGCCCAGGCTCGCCCCCGCCTCCTCCCTCCTCCCATCGGCGGGTGTGATCCGAACGGCCTCGCCTCATCGCCTAGCGCCCCCCTCAGCCGCCGCCGCCGCCGCCGCCTCGGCCCGCCGGCCATGTCCCCCGGCCGCCGCCGCCGCCGCCGCCCGAGCGCGGCGCTCCCGCAGCCCGCAGCTCGCTGAGCGCGGGCCCGTGCTGCCGCTCGCCCGCCCCGGGGCCCCCTTGTTCTCCGCGCCGCCGCCGCCGCCATGTTGGGTTTAGAGCCGCAGCGGAGCCGCCGCCGCCGCCGCGGGTGAGGGAGGCCGAGAGCGGAGCCCGCCCCGCCTCGGAGCCCGGCCTCTCCCCGCCAGCCGCCTTCCCGGCCCGCCGTGCGAGCCCGCCCGCGAGCGAGCTAGCAAGCTCCGGGCCCCGGCTGCGCCTTCCGCTCCCTGCGCGAGCGAGCGAGCGAGCCCGCCGCCGCGGGGTCGGCCACTGCCTGCGGCGGAGCCCACGAGCGTCAGCGCCATGGCGGAGCAGACCTACTCGTGGTGAGTGCGGGGCTCCGGGAGGCCGGGGCGCGGCGTGGGTGGGGGTCGCGCGCCGCCGCGCGGGGGGGAGAGCAGGCGGAACAGGTGCGCGCTGGGCCGCGGGCTGGGGGTGCACGCCCCCTTGGCCCCCGGCGGAGGGGCGGCTCGCGCGCGGGGACCGCGGCGAGCGGCCGGGGAGACCCGGCGTCGGTGGAGGGGGATGGAGGCGGCCACGGCGGATGTCATTTGGCCATGGGCGGAGCAGGTGATGGAGAAGGGGAGTGTGACCCCGGGAGTGGGAATCTCTGCGGATAGGAAGTTGAATCCGTCCGGCACCCCGGAACTGACCTGGGGTGGCCACTGGGCCGCGGGAATCGAGAGGCGGAGAGAGGCGGGCCGGGGCAAAGGTGGGCCCCGGGCCGAGAGGGAGCTCCGTGAGAACAGGTGATAAGAGGCAGAACTTCCAAGTTGTGAGAGAGAAGCAGCCGTCTTGTCTGTGGGGCTGCTGTTCAGCTCTGGCATCCAGAGCTAAGGGGGAGTTGGTAAGGTGGCCAGAGGCCCAGGAGTGGGCACCTGATAGAGAGGAGTTGGAAGGGGGGCCTGTTTGGATGACCACCTTCTGGTGGCGGTAGGGTGTGGGCAGCGTCTTTGTAAGGGTTGCTCCTGTGTTCTTAGGGATTTTAGGTGTGCTTGTGCCCCAGGCCATATACCGAGATGGAGGACCTGCAAGTTATGCCCATTTGTGTGGGACTTTTATCAAGTAGCTCATTCGTGTCTTACTCTTACGATGCGTCCTTGCAGTTTAGGGGCATGCATTTCCTGATAAGGGAGTGCCAGGGTTGGGGGCAAGCGGGAAGAGAGGCCCTCCTTTTTGCGTGCCAAGGTGGAATAATCTGCAGAAGGAGTGGAAGGAAGGAAGGGAGTGAAGTATGGAAATTGTGTGGTGGGAAGGAAGTAATGGCTTGAGGGTGAGGAGGTAAGGAATAGATGATTGGAGGTGTGGGGATGGGAATTCTGGTTGCAGTCTAGAGACTGTTCGAAGATGTTTTATTCTTTGAAGCACATGCAGTTTGGGACAGAATGGCAGACTTCCTTTCTTAGAAAAGAGCATAGAAGAATGGGAAGTGTACGACATTTGGAGTTGCAAGACCTGATTTGGAGGTCAGGTTCACCCTCTAACTTGTTTTGTAACTGGGCAAGCTAGTGGGTTCTTCATTCCCTTTTCCTCATCTATAAAAGAGGGGAATTGCCTTTTTTCACAAGTTGAAAGGATTAAATGAATACCTTTATGAAGTGCTCTTTTTAATTGCAAAGTGCCATAATTATAACTAAATTGTAATTATCATAGGGAAACATGAAAAAAACGGTAATGTCTGAATATAAAGAATGGTTTTGGGTAGAAAGCTTTAACCAAATGGATGATTTGTAGTGTTTGGGGTTATGATAAATCAAGAACTTATTGTATCCTCACATAGGGGAAAGAGGGTTATTAGTGATTGAAGATAATAATTCAAAAGGGAACTTAAAAATGTATACACAATTTCAAGAAAATAATAGATTGAAAAGAAGGAACTCTTCAAGAATTAAAATTTTAGAGTTGTGACTGTATAGTATTTTAAAAAGACAAACTTATTTAATAGTTTTGAGCAGCATTGAGCTGCATGTCAGGAGCAGGTGGTGTGAAACGCAAGGTTTCAGTTCAAGCATTCTTGTGGATGGAGTAAGAACTGAAGCTGGAGGTGATTCTGTCATGCCTCATGGTAACTCATCTAGAGCTTCTCCTACTCTGGCCCAAGCCAGAGTTCTCATGGCTGCCTTGTTCTTGCTGTATTGTATGGAAGTCATGGGTGGTTGAGAAATGGGGAAAGTGTTTTTACTGTAGATTAGCAACACACCACCTCCATGTAATGTGGATTGGGTCTATTAGTTAAAGGGGAGTTACTTTGTGAAGTTTGATAATTTTATTTGAAAACTCTTCAGATCTCAATTCCCTTTATTTAGGTTACAGGCAGTGGAGCGCCTCAAAAATCAGGATGTTTAGCTAACCCCTGGCATCTAGCATGTTTTGAGATGGAGAACGTTTTTTTTTTACATCATATTGAGAGAAGGTGATATACAGGGGAGGGGTTTGGAAAACTGGACAGCTTCCTAGTTCTTTCTGAGTTAACCAGACAACAATATAAAGAGCTGTACAAACGTGGCATTCAATATATTGTTCATTCTCTGAGTTAGCACTCAGAATTAAATTTAATTCTCCCAAGTCCCTAAGAGCATATTTTCCTATTTTATATAAGAGAAAACAGTCTCAGAAGATCAAAGAAATGGCCAGAGCATTTCACCTGTGATTCATTCTTTTGTTTAACATGAATTCTGTATTTTACCTGTTTAAATTGAAATATAAATATAGAAATGTATTTCAGAAAGTATATATGTAAACTCATTTTTTAGATTATCTGTAGTTTTGTAGCATCTATGTTACTCTTCCCTTGGCTTGTGCAAAAAAATCAAGAATTGATTAAAAAAAAAAAAAAAAGACTTGCATTTTACTTACTTGTATGTGGCCTTCAGGAAAAATCAACCTGTGGAGACTGCTGTGGCACTATAGATTTGTCTTGAAAATGGAGTTAGTGAGGAATGTAGACATGTATGAAAATAGACTTCTTTAGGATTTTCACATAATAGGACATATAAGCTATAAAAAAGATTGGCCAGGAGTTGGTAATTAGTGAAGTTAAGTGATGAGTACATCAGATGTTCATTATTTTATTCTGTTGATTTTTTTTGGGGGGGGGAGGTTATCAGGGCTTGAATATGGGCACTTAACCACTGAGCCACATCCCTAGCCCTTCCTATTTTTTATTTTGAGACAGGATTTTGCTAAGTTGCTAAGGCTGGTCTCGAAATTGCAGTCTTCCTGCCTCAGCCTCCCGAGTCACTGGGACTACAGGCGTGTGCCACTGTGCTCAGATAGTTTTAATACTTGTATTTCTGTCTGCATGACTCCCTTCTGTTCTTGTGTAAATACTGAATCTCCTCATTAAACACTAACCTTTGTCCTCCCATGGTCCTAGCACATTGTCTTGCACATAGCCCTTGTTAAATTTTGAGTAAATTTTAAATTTGAAGTAAATTTTGAGTGAATATGGTAGTAAATTTTCAAGGTGGCTTATCCTTTGTTGAAAGAATATTAAATACAGAGGGAGGTTACTAAAGGATGAAAGTTTATAATTCGTGTACTTATAAAGAAGAACTTTTGGTATTGGATTTCCTGATGTTCCAATGCTGTAAGAATGAGGAATGCTATCCCATATTATAGATAAAAGCTATTGAGAATTAAAAGGAGAACTTAAAGTAACTGGTAGTAACACCAGGAGCTTTATCATGATGTAATGACAAGATTTTGCATATATCCTTTTTGCTCATACACTGAGGAAGTAAAAGAATGCAAGTGAAAACACAAACTGAACGTGCAAACTAGACTTATTTTATTAATTTGAGAAAAACACCTTTCTAGGTGTACTCTTATGAGCACTTGTTTTAGTGTGAGTTCTGGAAGAAACAGGAGCTTGTCTCTTGAGGATGTCAATGCAGTACTTGTATGATTGCACTTGGACCCTGCTAAAAATTACTTATATTGAGGTTAATGTTTGTGCAAGGGGGGAAGAAGTCAATTTGTCCAAACCCTTCAAGCGAGTTCATTAGCAAAGTATTATCATAATAATTTTATTCTTTGTTTTGTATATGCTAAGGTTTCACAAGCATTGCAAAATAAGGAAGCTAAGGCTCCAAGAGTATAAATAATTTCCCTAAGGAAACAAATGTTTGTAAAAGGGCCCAAAGTCAAGACTGTTTGACACTAAGATTCTTTTTTTTTTTTTTAAAGAGAGAGAATTTTTTAATATTTATTTTGTAGTTTTCAGCGGACACAGCATCTTTGTTTGTATGTGGTTGGTGCTGAGAATCGAACCTGGGCCACATGCATGCCAGGCATGGCGTGCTACCGCTTGAGCCACATCCCCAGCCCGACACTAAGATTCTGATACTGAATCTGTCATTACTCTAAGCCAACCATTTTTTGCTTAAGTTCCTATATTAGCTTTCTCTTTGGGTTTCTTCCCGTCTCTACACAATGGCCATTCTCCTGAGTGGCCTTCTAACAACTTAAGCCAGATCATGACAGTCCTATGCTTAAAATTCTGCAGTGGCTTTTGGGCCCAGTTAGAATAAAGTCCTGATTCCTTAGTGCAGTTCTTCCTGTTTTGGCCTTGTTTTTAATCTCTTAAAGATGACAGACAGTGGGCTGGGGTTGTGGCCCAGTGGCAGAGCGTTTGCCTCATTCATGCGAGGCACTGAGTTCGATCCTCAGCACCACATGAAAATAAACAAAATAAATATATTGTGTCCATCTATAACTTTGTTTATTAAAAAAATAAAGCAAAATAAAATGATGACATTAATTAAAAAAAGATGACAGTAAACAAAATAAACTATACGAGGGTGAGACTCTTTCCGTTTTGGCACTCTCTCCAGTGTCTCAATAGGTGGTTTATAAAATTGTTCTGAATTAATGCGTGAGAATGCGTCTGCCTGTGCCATCTATTTTAAAATCTGATTTCAGGGCTTAATTGTATGGAGGTGGTATATTATTGTGATAATGTTCGTTATCATGTCATGTATTTGCAAAATAGTGCTAACTCAGAGAATGAACAATAATGCAGATCTTCAGAACTAATGGAAAGCAGTTCTAATTGAGGATTATTGTTGTGATGATCATTGCATCTGATATGATCATACCTGATTGTAGCTGCTGAAAGTTTTTTTTTTTTAAAGAAACTAGTTGAAAACTTATGTCTAGAATTATAGATGTTAGAAGATTTGTTTATTATTTTAAAAACATGTTTTGCCTGTAGTTAAAGTGCTTTGATAATATTGTTTCGGTGATGCATGATTTAAACTAAAATTAGCCAAAGCTATAACACCATGAATCAGTATTTAAATTGTTTTTCTCAGTGTCTATTATG